TTTCTTAGTTGAACAAATTGTCTTCTGTTTTCTTAGCTTTTTTTTTTATTTTTCTTTCCTTCTGTTAGCTTATCTTTCTGCTTTAATTTCTCATTCTTTTTGATCTTCTCTTCTTCTGGTTCATCTATGTCTGGAATCATTCTAAGCCAATCATTGTGTTTTTTTTAGAATTTGTTAATTGCCTCTTCTCTGCTATATTTGCAGTCAAATCTGACAATAATCTAAGCATTACTTCTCTTAAACATTTCTTTGAGCTCTTTAACATGTTTGTTAAATACTAGCAATTTTTAAATGAATTTTATTCTTTCTTCTTGTAAACTACCTAGTACATTGTATGCTAGTATTTTTGCTACATACATTCTTTCATTACTGTATTCTCTGTTCAAGGGTAACCAAATGCTTCATTCTAATGGTTCTTCTATGATATTATCTCTGTTTTTCTATCATTCAATTTCATAAATTTCATCTTTTTCATTTTTCTTAGTTTCTTCTTGGTTTCTAATTGTCATAATGATATCTTTATAGTCTTCTTGCATTATATCTGTCTTCAATGCTCTTATTTTATCTTTTATATAGTTGTCTGTTTTTGCCTCTTTCATTATTATACTTGTTGTTTCTGTATCTGTAATTTCTTTGTTTTTTCTTCTTTTTTGTCTTTCTTTTTCTTCTAAACTTGTATTTTGTCATAGCTCTTTTTCATTTATTATTATATCTACTGCTTCTGTCTTTTGTCTTATTTTTTCTATATACAGTTCTGATATGTTGATTTTTTTTTTTAATATTGTTTGGACTTTTTTGTTTCTTATACTTTGTACTGCTAGTAGATGTTGGCTTATGCAATTTATCTTTTCTGTCTATTTTTTATACTTGTTGGGTTTTTTATGTTTACTTTAATTATTACTTTATATATTTTTCTTAGCATTACTGTTTTCATTAAATCTGTTTTTCATAGTGCTGCTGCTATTATATTTCTTATATTAAAATAGTTGTCTCTATTTGCTAGTTCTTGCTCTAATTCTTTGCTGCCTATGATTTTTAGTTCTGCCTCTGCTTTTTTACTTATTAATTTTAGCATTATTGACTCTTTTGCCTTTGTTTGTATCATTTGTAGCTATGTTTTGTGTTATATTGTTTACAATCATATACACTCTGTAATACTTATATGTTTATTCTGTTTATATCTGTACATGTCTGTTTGTTTGTCTTTTCATATGTTCATATGTTCTAAACAGATCTGTGATTTCAGATATAAACTATTTTTTCCAAATTTTTGCTTTACAAGTCTTGTTTGGCAAGTTTGTCTTTTCTTTACTTGCTTCTTGACTTCTTTTTTTCTACTGTTCTACTTGTTAGGTCTATTTTTGAAGCTCTTTCTTTTTTGTTAAGTCTTTGAGCACAGTTTTGACAGTAGTTTTTCTGTTAGTTTTGATTTTTGTTTCTGCAGATTTTATGTTTTGGTGATCAATAAAAAGGGTCTTTTTTGTTTAAATATTTTGTATTATATACATTATATTACATAAGATATAATATTGTATAATATAATATTAATATTTTAAAATTTAAAAATAAATACAAAAATTATTATATAATATTAATAAAATAAAAATTAATAAATATTATATTTTATATTATATATAATACTAAGTAATAGAGATGTAGTAAACTAGTAAAGTAAATAGATTATTAATCTCCAAGTGACAGATTTAAGGTTCAATTCCCACAGACAATAAATTTTGGAAATTATATCTGTATTATGTTAATTATCTTTTGTTAATCAGTTAAATTTATATATCTGTAATCTTAGATATATCTGATTAAGATTCACTTGATTTTAAAAGCTTGAAATATCTATACAAAGTATAATTTTATATAAAAGCTTATTTGAAAAAATCCTAAGAAAAAAGAAACACAAACTTTTAATGATATTATTGGTCTAATAGAAGTTTATAAAACACTTTTATAAGAATTGTCAAATAAGCCAAATAACAAAATATATAATAAAACATATGATCAACCAAATTACCAGAATTGCTAAAAGAAAAAATATATAAGTATATTATACTATGCTATCTGGATTGGAAGTCTGAGAGTCTGTTGCAACTGATAAGAGATAATTAGAAAAATATCAAAAAAATGAATACTAGAATTTAGATTAATTTTACAAAAGTAATAATAGTTTAATAGATAACTCTGACTACAAGTATTAGTCTCAACTATAGAAGAAAATCCAAGTTAGCAGTTAATAAAAAATATTTAGCTTACTTTGATAGGTTTACTCTTAAGAATAAAATTGGTTTAAGGTTGAAATAAGGATCTAGATACAAGTGATTTAGTAAAGTTAGTATAAGAGTTTCAGATCAAAGGATTTAAATAGAACATTTAAGCAGAGATCAGAGTATTTAAATGAAACATCTAAACAGAGATGTTAGGTATAGCAACTAATAAGGAACCTTTAAGCAGACTTTTTAAATAGGTAATATAGAAAACTTATATATATAGCCAATTGTATGCTTGTCATGATGCCTAACAATAATATTAATAAAGTCAAAAGACCAAAGAGATTATCTTAAATGTCAAAAAAAAATCAACACTATATAATATATAACATTAGTTAGTAATTTTTTATTTGAATAAAGTAGACTAACTAATATAAATTTTAGAATACTATAAAATAGTAAACTTCCAAAAAATTAAGTATACTTCTTGCTTCTTAATTTTGGTAAAACATATTTATATAATGTTATATGTTATATGTATTATGTAATGCAAAACTAAAAAAATTATATCTCTATTCAAAAAACATTTAGAAATATTTTACTAAAAAGATATTATTTTACTAATTATTATTTATTATATTGTTAATTGAAAAATAAAAAACAAAATACAAATCACCTAACTTTTTTTATAGATTCTTAAAACCAACTTTCTTCTACAGACAATCTAGATTTACTTAACAGTTTACTAAACTAATAATCTTTAATCTTTTAATTAAACTTTGTCTTTACAATTTTCTGTCTTATAAACAATATAATCATATCTATATCTAACTGTCTGATATGACAAACTTTGATATTATAATAAAAGTATTCTCATTTATTACCAATCATTTGATTTACATCTACCAATTATATAAGTTATTAGAAAATACATATTGTTATAAGTAAATCTGACCCTAGGACCTTGAAGAAACATTAGATAACACCCATGATTTGTATTATAAAAAACTATCATATCACAATGCTTGCAATCCAAGACTAAACAAGTATCTCATAAAGTGATAGTGCTGATCCCATTGAAGACAAGCCATCTGCTCAATTTAGAATACAACTGTCAAGGTAATATTATCTTAACAGGTAAAGTCTGTGATCATGTCAATGCATTATCATATGTTGGGTTGTATGTAGAGATGGGTTTCATGTGTGTACATGATTGCAGAAACATGTGTATAATTCTGTTTTATGTGCATTTTATCTCATCAAGATTTCTCTTCTCTCAACCATTTTTTCTTTTTTTTTGCCTTTTTTTTTATTATGTGATATCATGCACATGAAACATTTCATGTGCATTAATGTGCATTTATGCATATGTTATTATAAAATACACATTTTTCCCATCACTAGTTGTGTGTTGTTATGGGATGATGGGAAAAATTCTAAAGTAATGATGGATGAATTGTAGAAAAAAAAGAAAAGTGTTAGTAAAAAAAGGAAAAATGGTCTATGACAATGAGAAAAAGGATGTTAAAACCGTTTCCCAAGTTCTCTTCTTTTCCCTTGAGAATTCTCTATAAGAATGGTTTGAATTCTCTCTTGTAAAGTAGAGTGTCTCCCCGCCCTTTTAATAATAGTCCAAGAACCGTCTTATATTGTAACCCGAATCACCTTTAAATTGTAACCCGCCCTAATAAATAAAATAAAAATTAATAAAGTTTTAATTAAATTATTATAAAACAAATAAATAAAAAACCTACGCTCCTTTAAACCCGTCTTGAACCCGAATCTCCCCTTCGTGACGTTCTCAATGCCGCCTTTGACCAGTGCCAAATCGAATCCGCCTCACCTGCCTTGAGCAACGTTACGCGACGTCGACGAATTCGAAGCGACATTCCGTCGCATTCCTTCTTGTCCCTATAGTGCCGTTCCCGACCGTATATTCCCGTATCAATATATATTGTCATAGGATAAAGTGGCACTTCTGAGACTAAAGATAAAATTACGGCATAAATTTCGTGAATAAATAATTAAGTGCCACAAAGGTTGGGCCTTTGAATAATCGGTTATAATATATGAGGCACTCTATCAGCTGAATTTATAATAATCGAGTAAACAAACGCGACAGACGCGAGATTAAAAACTCAAAATGAGCGAAGCCTCAGGAGCGAATATACTTCCAAGAAGTTATTTATCCCAAACCACCATAGTTATGCCTCTGGCAAGTTGCTTTTCCATATTTTTTTTTTCTGTGTTCATTCATTTTATTATTGTGTTGTACGTTAAATTCACCCCGTGACAGACCAAGTGAAAACCATAAGTTGCTATTTCAAACGAAATTGGCTATAATTAACTTTATAAAACAGATTACTCGAACATGTAAATTAATTAAAATTGTTTAATTAAAGTAATAAAAGTTTACAATTACTATCACATATACACAATTTCTTATTGTATGTACAACTATAAAAGTACTACTTTTAAATTCAGCGACGACATAAGAAATTATTTTATTGTGTGAAACCAAAGATCCCACCCCTAAATCAATGAGTTTATTATGTCGGACTAATGTTTTAAGCTAGTATGAAGTATGTATAGTATTATAAGCGTGAATAATATTAACGTTAATGAATAATTAATTTATGAGTCAATAAATTTGTTTTACATCATTACAATAAAATAATTTTGGGCACATTAATGTTTTTTTGTTATCCATCTATTAATCAAAGAATATTAATATTTGATTTTAAAAAAACGCTAGTCTTTACTACAGCATATCAATTTCAAAGCTCACCATAAATATTTTTCTTCATCAGAAGAAATTACAAAACCTTGCGTATTTGTTAATTCTTGGGGTAACTCTAATAATAATTAATAAGAATTATAATTCATGATGATGAAAATGATGATGATGATGTTAAGTAATTTTAAAATGAGAACAAATAATTTATTAACACTCATAAATAACTTACTTGTTGAATTTTTAGGTTCTGGAAGATTTTTAAAGCCAATAAGTTTGCTGGTATATACATCGTTTAGAAGTTTGCTATTATATTTGTCATTTGAATATGTTTGCGAACTTGAAGATGAATCAGAAACCTTTTTATCTGCCAATGTAAATTCGTTTCTAATTGAAACATCCTTTTCTCTTTTGATATGATCATACATCAATGCATCGTACCAATAATTTATCGACTCATAACATTCACTCGCTGTCGGTCTCTTGGAAGGGTCAGCATCCATACATTTGTATGCTAATTCAATATAAAATTTTGGAGTTCCTTTTCCAAATTTAGGACGCGAACCGTTAAGTATTTCCATAACAAGAGAAAGGTCATGTGGAACCTTCCAATGTGGTGGTTTTCCAGATGAAATTTCAGTCATAAGAATCCCAAAACTATAAATATCAGCAGCTTCTTTATATGGTTTTTCATATAGAACTTCGGGAGCAACGTAAGGTAATACACCATAAATACCCTTTTCATTAGTTTCTGTATTAACATGTCTGGCCAATCCTAAATCAGAAATACAAGGATAATGGTTACTGTGTATTAAAATGTTTCCACTGTGGAGATCACGATGCACACTTTTATTTTTATGAATCAAAACTAATTCATTAATAATCTTCAATAAAAAGAACAATTTTTTTTTCCAATCGAGGTCTTTAAATTTTAATTCAAGGTAATTTCTAAGGTTACCATTATTAGCAAATTTCAAAACCATCATGTAATTTTTTGTAGTCGGATCTTGAGTTAAACCGTATAAATCGATGGATGAGTATTTATAATGAAATTCAATCTAAATTAATTAAATTTATCATGAATTTGTGATTATATGACGTTTTAAAATATACAAATAAATTAAAATAAAAAAATAAACATATATTACCTCTTTTAAAAAGCTATTTAAAAATTCATCCGAAATATTTATAGAATCATTCAATAATTTAACAGCGACTTTTAATTCTTTTTCCCTTTTTTCACCATCCTCATCTATTGACACTCTTTTCCCATCTATCCATATAGCTGAATATACTATACTGTAACCACCTTTTCCAACAACTTTAAGATCTTTTAATCTATTAAACGGAATCCATTCTACTACTTTGTAATATTTATCTGTAGATTTTAAAACGTCAAGTAAAAACTTGTTGACCTTATCATTTCCTGAGCGAGCAGAATTCACACTATCACAAAATTTACACCATGCATCCGAGTAAATCTTGTTTTTGCATATTTTACAAATATCGAAATCTGTTTTCCGTAGTAGTGTTCATGAGATAGTTATAAAATTTTATTTAAAATTTTTAATTAAATTAAATGATTATAATTAAATTAGATTTAAGGCATTTGAATTTAGGATAATTGATTGATCTAAATGGTTAGGATTCAATTAATTTGCCACGACCATAACATTGCACATGAATTTAAAAACAGTACATCGAGAAAATGTGGATACGTTAGTTAAAAGATTCCAAATCACGAGATTAAATTTAAAGTTTGCCAAATATATTTTGTATGCACTCACCTGATTATTCAGTTCTCTAAATATGGAGTATGACAACTTCACAATTATGCGTACAAATGATTGTACGTATTAGGCGCCTTTTCTATATCGAGGTCTATTGTATAATCACAATTCAAAATTGTACCGTTATAATTCACATTTACTGCTACGTATCCAAAACTTGAACGTAGGATATCTACCGATATGAGAGAAAGTAAAATCGTCAATCTACTATGACACCATAACATAATATCTGTTATTTCTACGTATATAATGTGATGATGTTTGTGTATTTGTCTAATTAAGGTCAATTAACGTTAACATTATTAACTTTCGATGAAAACATAAACTTTCATAAATCATATTGACGTGGCATATAATTTGAAGAATCACGTACGTACGTAATCATAATTTTCAAGGCTAAAGTTTATAATATATTTTATTTATTATTTATCTTATATTATCCAAACATAAATAGAAAAATTTGAAATAGCGCATAATTGATTACAGATATTGTAGATAAAAAAAAATCAAATATACTATATACTACCGCTACATAGTTAAAAAATATAATTACGAATAAAAAAGTATATCCAAGATAAAAATTAAGCTTTCTTTAAAATTTTAAATAAATTATCTAAGAAAGTGTATGTTATATTATAAATATCAACAGAATCATTATTACTTTGTTTTTGTCCCGTTATAAATAACTTCTGAACGTTTTCTTTTTTGATCCACGTAGCAATTAAAGGAATTTTATCTTTGTTTTCTTCAAAATCTTCTTTAAGTTCAATAGTTTTTGATTCTTTTCCTTCAATAAAAGGAAGTTTTTCATTATCAAATTTTATATTTGATATATTTAGAATTAGCATTTTATCAGCTATTTTAAAATTTTCTTCATTTCTTGTTGAATATGAATTAGTTTCTAATTCAATAAGTTTGTATTTACTTGATAAAATATCATCTTCTGCTAATCTTTCTTTTATACAATAACCATTAATTTCCAATTTATTTTTTAAAGCAGCATTTAATGCTGCTCTTTCAACTCCAGTTTGATCTCCAGAAATAATAATCATATGAAATATAATAAAACATGATTTTTTTTTAAAGATTATTTATTTATATAAATAATTTAACAACAATATTATAATATTTGAATTGTTTAGGCTGAGAATTTTTAATCTTATTAAAGTAAAAAATTAGATGATCTATGAATTTTAATTTTTTTACGAAATTTAAAAAATTTTAATTTATTTTATTTTTAGAAATAATATGGTTATTTAAGAACAATATGATAAACAATATAATAAACTATAAACAATTTATTTATACAATTATAATTTTTATATATAAAAATTTATTTTATAAGAAAAAATAATAAAATACAATAAATATAATATATATAATAATAAATTATATTATCTAATATAAAACAACATATATAATAAAAAGTATATTAATAAAAATAATATATTTAATAATTATTTTTAAAAACTGATTTAATATCTAATGTACGTATATACGTAATAATTAAACATGCCAATTTATTTCTAATAAGAGCATCGTCCTCTTACATCAGCCTTTCACATAGCCGCACGTCGATCATTGCTGATTGTAACCAATAGAATCACAAGATCATGTGTAACTTAAAAAATTAAAAAAATTAAAAAAATCGTAAATAACTCAAACTTTATTAGTTTGACTTCTAAATCTTCTAAATAAAAATTTTCAGCACGCAATTTTAATTATATAAGTATATTTAAATATTGAATTACAAGTAAATTAAAGGTTGCGCTTTTTGCTCTTTCGATTTGGTTATCGACATAACCTGTCACAGATTTCAGACGTACATACAAAAAAAAGGATTATGCCGTTGTAACACCATTGCCAATACACAAACCCGATTTATTGCGATAATGGTAAGATTAAAAACTTTAAATTTATATGGTTATCTCCGATGGAATCAAAAATCAAATTTCCTAAAATTTCTTATAGTTCCGATCTTTTGTCTAGAAGCGATAACAACGATAAAAACTTATTTCTAAAAAAATCGTTTAAAATATGTATATACGTACGTACCAGAACTGTAAATTAATGTGTAATTTAGTACTTACCGTTACCTGGTAAATTGCAATGCCTCCGAAAATTTCCGACCGTTTTTACAAGACTGACTTTTTTTTTTATTTATAACTGTTTTCATAATTTTTGATCCACTGATAATATTTTGCCGAATAATTTTTCGGCCAATCCAGAAATAAGTTATTGATTTCGGAATGATCGATATACGTATAAATTATGTAAATTACAATTTAGATGCATATACCGTAGATTATATTGTAATTTGATATATACGTATATGTTTCACGGCACCCGGATTAACAGTATTTAAAATACTAATCTAATCAATCAAATTTCGAGATCAGGTGTAACATAAAAAAAAAATGCAAAAAAAACGAAAACAATCCAAAAATCATTTGTAACTCAAAACCTTGGTAATCTAATTGTGTAAAAATTTTTTAATAAAATCACATGTGTGAAATTTTTTAATCCAATATGTCGGATAAGTGTTTAAACGAAAATTTAATAAGATTAAAGGTTTTCAACGTTTATAATACTAAATTATCTAAAGAGAGTATAATATATATGTCTTTTATATATATAATAGTTTATTATTGTAATTGCGTAATTTTTACGTACAAGTTTCTGACATGTAATTTTTGTTACATGAATAACGTTGCCATAACGTTTATAGAGTTGGCGCATAAAGTATATTAATGCTGGCAAAACTTTTGGTTTAATCATAAGACCCTAGCATCATCAACTTAAAATACTCCGCTAAAAAAATTTCGCAGTTAATTATGGTTAGAGTTTGCTATTAAGTAGGTTAGAAGGTGCCTTTCTAATACCAAAATTTCCTAAGGAAACTTTTTGTTAATGCGCAGAAAGCAGTTTCATAGGTGAAATTGTTCCGCGTCATTTTTCAATTTATGTTACTTCGAAATTGACATGTGCCATTTGTAAATTTAAAAATGACATATGTTATTTCTCAATCGGTATAGATAGTAGTTTTTGTAAATTGAAATTTTCAT